CGATGAAGGACATTTAAACAACTATAATCAAATGAAAATGGAGGCATGTTGATGGTAACACGTATAAATATCTGAGTTAAAATACTTGAGTTAATATAAATTATGCATGATGAGATGCATAAAAGTCTTTTGTAACCAACTGATACACTTTCTACAGTATGTAAAGAAGGAAGATTTTATGTGTTGTGTTTGTTTTGAAAATTAAAAAAAAAACTTTTTTAAAAAAAGAACAGAAGCCTTTCTGGATTATTCTGGAAGTCAGCATAGCGATAACTTTCTATGAAAAATGCTCATCATAACCAGTGACTGAACCAAATAGAAATAACCACAAATGGCCCCTGACAAATGGATTTTGGAAAGCGTAGGGTTGCTATTCTGCTCGCTCTCCTTCCTTCTGGCATGTCTTCAGGAAATGCCACCCATTTTCTGAACTCCTAGGTGTACGTAATTATTTAGAAGTCTTGCTATGGCTGTAAATGTTGCCAAGAAGTTGCCAACACATGGCAACCTCCAAACAGACAGGCATGCCAGCTCAAAAGGGCCAGATGGAAACAAAGAACTCTGCAACCACAGACGCTGAGCTAAGAATCCAGAAGAATCAAAGTGAAAGTAACATTGACCCAGTTATGAATGCATGAGCGATGAGGGATTGCTTACCCAAAATTAGCGTTCTCTTTGACGTCCGTGTCACTGGTAGTTTTGAGGAAACCGGTGGAGAAAAAAAACAGATTAATGAATCAATTAACCATAATCACGTGTTAGTTACTCTCAAAGCAAACTGAAATTGTTTCAAAAATAGATTCTCAGGGAAGTGAAATGATGCAAACTGGGAAACATTTCCAACTGACCAAACCATTTGAAATGTGACACCTTTAAAAAACTGCGTTATTTTAATCTTTGAAGTGGACTTTAGTCCAAAGCAGTAAAAATCAATAAATGCGTAGAATTTTATAATCTAACATTTGATAATCCAACAAATGAGTATAAAATGAAACCCCTGAAAGATCCTGCACCTCGGTTTTAGAAACAGAGAAGTTCCCTCCAGAAAAATACAGCAATGAAACATTATCCACCCTAGAAAGTTTCCTATGTGGATCATTTGAAGGGGTTATCAATAATATTTCAAGAAACGTAAAGGCATGTTTTAGAAGAACAGCCGACTCAGAGTAATGTCCTGAAGTGGGAAAAACAAATATGGGCCCATGACTAGGGACCTTACTAGGAACAATGGCCAGAGGGCTTGCAAATCTGTTTAGTCAACTTGGCTGGGTCTTCAATTAATGAGGACAACTTAAAAGAAAAGGTGGGCCTTTGCAGAATTTATTTACTGTTATGCTTCTGATGCCAACTTCTGCATTTACATGTAGTGCAACTAAGGATGTGAAGAAGAGCCACTGGCCCCATCATACCCAGCCTGAAGATAGTTTCTTTGGCTTTATTCTCTTAGAGAGGGGCTTTGTGAAGGTGGTTTAACCCAGAGAGACTAAGAGGAGACCCCAGGTCAAAGGATCGATGATCCACACATACCAATCCACTCAAAGCTGCCAGAGACACTTAAACCTTCTCCACAAAGCTCTAAAAAGGCCCCACCTTTTTTAAGGTTAGGTATGACGGACCAGGGGCCTCCGACTTCTTGAATGGACGGGTACATCTTAAACCCAGCCACTGCATTGAAAGATGCTCCAAGAATCGCAAGGGGCAGTCGGAGCAAAACCTGCCCGTGGGAAGCAGGCGTGGGCTGCACCAGCACCCAATGGCTTCCACATGAAGCACCCGAAGCAGGCAGGCCTGGGGACGATTTTCAACCAGGCAGGAAAGGCAACGAGTGATGAAAGGCAGCAAGTCTGCGTTGCATGCGCAATGCTGCCGCCAGGATCCAAAGGGTCGCTGGTGGCGCAGTGGTTAAATGCAGCACTGCAGGCTACTTCAGCTGACTGCAGTTCTGCAGTTCAGGGGTTCTAATCTCACCGGCTCAGGGTTGACTCAGCCTTCCATCCTTCCGAGGTGGGTGAAATGAGGACCCGGATTGTTGTTGGGGGCGATATGCTGACTCTGTAAACCGCTTAGAGAGGGCTGAAAACCCTAGGAAGCGGTATATAAGTCTAACTGCTATTGCTATTGCTATTGCTCTATCTATCTTATCTATCTATCTTATCTATCTATCTATCTATCTATCTATCTATCT